TGTCGCTACATGGACGGTCCAGATCGACGCGGAGAGGGTATATAAGCATCGCATCCTAGAAACCCTAACTCTAGCTGCATGTGACCCCGCTAAAGAAGAAGAAGAAGGGCGGGCGGAAGGAAAACCGAGTGCCATCATCTCCACACCATAGCCGCTGCCGACCCTAGGGAGGTGAGTTTTTTTGCCCTTTCAATTCAAAATTTTATTTTAAGCTTTCCTATGCCCATATCAGAGCCAAAAAGCTGAAAGAAAACCTAGAAATCGAGAGCGGAGCTCGGTCGAGTCGCCACGGCTGTAACCAAAAAACAGTTCCTCTGAGCCCGATTCCGCTTTTCGTTCTCTTTAATCTTTCAACCAGTGAATTCTGAACACGATTTTAGTGTAGGTTGACCGAAGGAAATTCCCAGCCGCAAGAAAGAAACGGTGGAATCACCGTACCGAAAAACCCCTATGCTAGTGAGTTTCAGTTTTTCCCTTTTTCCAGCTAACAGAGCCCACCTAACCTTAAATTTTACAGGTTTTTGGCTGAAACTGGCTAGGCCGAGAGGAGAAGTTGCTGTGGGTGGCGGAGCTGGCGCCAGAGTACGGTGGCGACACTGTGCAAGAATTTTAAATCTGCTAGAAAAATTTAAAAACACTTATTTTGTCATTTTTGGGGTATTTTGAAATATGCAACGTGTATTTTTGGTTTTCGCATAAAAAACAAAAAAAATTCAGGAACTGTCGAAAAGTGCAGTGAAAATGACAGTGTTTCAAACACCAACCCGGGGTAAGAGTCACTCACACTTTTATCTCATTACGGTTAATTAAAGTTTAATAAATAATAATGATATATTTTATAAATATTAGAAATCCCTTATTAATTAAACACAGGTCACCAGTGGAGCCGGTAATTGGTTAGTGTATAATTGCTTTACCTTATCTGTGTGACATATTTATTGCTATACTACTTTACTTGCTTACCATTACTTCGTGTATTTTAATTTATTAGTTTTAATTACTTTTTTGTTCATTAGTTTACTCAACCGTTTTTATCCATATCTATTGATTGATTTTCAATAAATGCCTTGATTACGTCTCCCTTAGTTGTTAATTTATTTATTTAGATTACCTGTATAATTACCGTTCTATTGTTATGTAAATATGGAATAAGATAGTTGTGTGTAATTGATGGCTAATTGATGATGTGAAAATGTGTATAAAATGCTTACCGGGTATTATGGGAAAGGGTGTACGGACCCAATGCATATGACGAACTCTAATGTGGATATTATCTCAGTCGAACGGGGCTGGGAAGTCCCATACCAGAAGGGGTTAGGAAGTATTTGTTCACCCTCATACCGGATAAGGTATTGAAGCGGTGGTATGTTTGACGCTCATTATCGGACGTGATATGGGATGATCAGTTAATTAATAAATTGGATGTTGGGTCCACGTATAGGGAGAACTCCTATGTACCCTTAAAAGTACTGGTAGGTAGGTAAAAAGCTAAGGTTGACTATTATTGTTCTTTGGAATGTATCATGAATTGTTATTTTGATTATTGTCTTCACAAGTCGAATTTAGGAATTTAAAGCTGAGTATGAAACTTACTTTTTTTTTAATCAAATGAATTTACCTAAAAGAAAAAAGTAACTTTGTTGGTTGTTTTATGATTTTTACCAACATTTGATTTTCCTTATCGGTGTTAAGTATTGATATTCTTATTGAGTTAGTGTAGGTCATTCTTCTTATTTAACCATTTCAGATCAAAAAAATCAATATCCGAATCTTGAACAGTAAAAAAGTTAGCAGCTAAAAGTTGTCTCTCGCATCTTATCAGAGTTGGGCAGTTGAGGTTAATCCTATAGAATTTTAGTTACATTTATATTTATGTATTTTAATTTACTTAAATGGACATTTCCTATAACTCTATTAAGTATTTTAATTTACTATGTAAAAAATGTAAATCATAAACTCTTAATTACTTCCACTATTATTTTATTAATTCAATATTTCCATTCAATTAAGTTTTGGGCCTTTACATATATACACATACACATTAGTATAGTTAGTGAATAAGAGACTTAAGATGTTATTATTAATAATGTTAAGAAAAAAACCAATCTTTTCCATTACAAGAATGTAAAGGCAAAGACAGCAAGTTGAAAGAGAGAGTAGAAACATGGTGTCTTTCTTTCTATACATTGGCCTTAGTGTTTGGTATTCATAATAAATCTGTAAGCACATCAAGAGAAAACAAACGGTTTCAAACACCAAATCCTGTTACTATTCAAATAAAAAACCTTTTTGTTTTCAAGATTAAGGAAGAATCTTCAAGATTTCTACCTCAAAGATTTTTTACTAATCTGATCACTTGATCTCTTGATTGATTCGATTCGTTGCAGCCTGATTTGTTCTCTGAATTTTGCTATGAATTCATCAGCCTTCTTGTCCACATCTGGGCCTCCATCACTCACATTTTTTGAACCTCTTTCTTCCTGGTTTGAGCTGCTTCCTACCATACGGGAAGCAAAGTAACTTGCTCTGGTATCGTCTTCATTGTCTTCGTCCTCTTCATCATCATCTTCTGTTACCAAGTCATCATCGGTTTCCATGGTTGCTTTCTCTAGGAACTCTTGATTCTCTTCTTCTGGAAATTCCATGAATTTCTTATTTGGGATAAAACCCGGATTCAACTCTTCGGTTTTGTACGATGTTTGACTGAATCGCACTGTTTTCCTAGCGGATTGATTAGTTTCCTTCATTCTTTCTTCGGCTATACCACTGAATTCATCTTCATCATCTCTGTATTTTCTTCCTGCAATGGCCGAGTCACTTGGTTTAACTGTCCTAGTTGAGTTCCCCATTGATAGACGTTCAACAGACTTGTTAACCATGAATGGTGGAGGTGGAGGAGGAGGAGGAGGAGGGGGGGCTGGAGATGACCTGTAAAAGCTCTTTTTCCTCACTGAATCCTCAGCAGTCTTGCCTTGTGATTCCATTGACAAAGAGGGAGATAACTTCTTGGAGGAAGATGGAGAAAGAGAAATTTTCATGAAGAAG